ATTGAGCATATGCAAATTGATTTTATTTTCACGCAATATTCATAGACATACACCTAGATCATTGGACATTGATATTGGCGAAAACGAATATCAATTATTTTGTCAGTTGACAAAGGTGTAAAATAAAAGTTTGACTTTGCGATTTCCTCTTTAGAGATATGGAACAAATTCAACAAAACTTTATTTTTAACATTCTTATTAATGAGAAACGCGTTCTATTTTTTTTCGAATCCTAAATACGTTAGTAGTGAAGGCCAGAAATAACTAAATCAAAAACTATAACCCTTTTTTCTAAATTCACATTTAGCGGGAATTTGATTCGTATGCAAAATAGAAAAACTTGAAGTGGTGCGCTGAATTTAAACGTGGCAGAAGCCCCTGCCATGACAACAGCAGTCCTGGCGACTAGCAAGAGCCGCTACGCAGGAAATAGTTAAGATAGATCGATGTGTGACCATTCGTTATTAGCTGAGAATATAAAACATTAGTTTGAGAAAATTCAGTTTATACTTATCTTAAAATTTTTAAATTATGAAAAAAGTGGCCGCGCGCTGCGTTCCTCGAATGTTAACAGACGCCCGAATGTTATGAAGAAAGCAAGAGTTAACATTTCAAAGTTAAATTTAGCAATAATTGAAGAATATCCAGATTCTTTTTGCGCTCGTTTCGTAATCGTCGATGAAACGTGGGTACACAATTTTGACCCGAAGACGAAAAACCAAAGTAAGATGTGGAAAAGACAGTTCTCCTTCCAATCTCTCTCCGCCCAATTGAGGCTAATGAAATAAAAATATTGAATAACAATTATGAAAAAAAGTTATTTTTACTACCTGGTACAAGGGCAACTACACGTGACCGAACGGAAAATATGTTTCTTTGGAATTAGGACTCATAAAAATGAACGTATTGAACGCATTTGAAAAGATTAAACCTTTTGGAAGGTGAAAATGAAATGAATAATAGTACAATTTTATTTAGAATGTTCAGTTGCCAGAAATAGTAAACCCTAATTTCACCCGGCATTCACGCGGTATGCCGATTAGACAACTTTCATTACAAGATAAACAAAATGTGAAGCTTTCATCGCGCTGGCATCAAAAATCGTAGAATGATTCTCAAAATTTGATTTGTTGGTTTGATACCCAATACCTATACTCTGTAGATGTCACAACGTAGTTTCTCGAGAAGCTAAGCATATTTTTTATTTATTTATATTTACCAAATGTAATTATTTTATGTTCAAAAAAACTGTTGTTGCCAATCCGCTTGCCAATCGTGGCAACTATGGCAAATATCGCCCCTATGAGGCTATCAATGGAGGAGGTCTATGTTCAGCAGTGGACTTTATAGGCTGAAAAGGTAACGAAACAACCTACCTTTTTTCATTAATAAAATTAGTTGATTGTTAAAACTTCCATAAAGTGATATTATCTGTATGGTCACCCGAGGCAAGTGTGATAGTGAGGTAAGTGTAACAAATGTAAATTATGCGGCCTAAACACGGTTTTTGGTTAAACTCGATCTATTAAATAAGGAAGGAAATTTTACGTTATTGATTATACTGACAGTTAAGTACATAGCTTCAACTATTTTATCAACAGACGTATTCTTTTTAAAACCACTCAACTCTGTCACCAGTTGAGTGGTTTTAGTGGTTTGTCTGTCACCACAGCGCAATTTTAGGAGGTAAAGTTATTAAGGTTTTCGATATGTCATTAAGTTATTTTAAGCCAGATACAACGTGAGTGATAAATAATAATATTGGTACTTATAGAGTAATATGTTTCTGTAAACTAAAATCCACTATTCCTTAAATATACAGATACAGTCACACTTACCCCACCTAATACCTAACATCGGGGTAAGTTGTGTGACAATGTCACGATTACCCCGATCGTTATGAGAATATCATACCTAGTGATGGGACAGCCTATCATCTTTAACCAAACTTCAAAAAAGAAGGATGCTATTTACCAGTATGTATGTATGTATGTATTTATATATAAGTGTATACTTTTTTTTAAATTAATACCTAGGGATAAATACATATCAACAATACACAAATACAAATCACTACATACCGTAAAATCACGTGGTCGATAATAGAAAAATGTATTATATGCTTTACTCATTACCGCAAGTGTAATGCCATGCTCTTGTTTTCGGTTTGTAGTTGATCAATTTTGTAAATATTGTGTGCCTAAAATATCACCACAAGCACCTAGTAGTAACACTAACACATATTCCGTTGCACTAAGACGGAGATCAGCTGGTATTTGAACCCCGAGTTCATTGGTAATCTTAGTCTAAGGTCCGAAGTCTAAGTCTGAATATTCTATTAAATTTAGATTCAGATTTATTTTCTACTAACCAAATATTCTTTCTTTAAAGGAAGAGACTCATGTGCAGTAATGGACTGTGGCGGACTAGTGAAAGAAAATAAGAAACAGATTATGCTCGGTTATAAACTGATAGACATATGAAGGAAACGGACGCAAAAAGAAAGAGATAGACTATCCTAAAAGTTTTATTGAGAAATGGATAGAGAAGTTGCATTAATTTTTTGCCACAAATTTATATATAAAGGAAAGAATTCTTAATTTAAAGTATATTTAAACAATTTTAACTAATAATTTCAGTTTTTTAATAATTATTAATAAAAAATAGTAAAATTTCTGAAAAAAAAAGAACGACTTGCGACAGACAATCGCAATCGTGCTTTACTTTTGTGTTTACTGTATTCGGATCACCGTGTGTCATAATAAAACATAATTATATAACCTGTATTATGCAATGACTATTTTTTAAAATTTGACAACGTAAACATGAGTGTTTTTTTTATAACTGGCTTTACGGCTCTGGGTACTAGCCCTTCTGAGTCAATAAATTCTTTCAGAATCTTCATTTTATATATTTTTTTTTCACAATATGCTGATGCGTCACATTGCAAAGTTTTTGGGAGGTGACAGCTCAAACCAGCGGACTGTTGATGACGGCAGCCACTCAAGTTCATAAGGCGCCCAAGCGATCAAATTAACTTGAGGTTTATATAGACATCAAAGCACTTGTTTTGTCGTTTTCTTTAGTTCACACGCGCAGATACTTAATTCACAAAATCACATCACTTTTACGACTTAAAATCCACTTCAAACCATTATTCAATCGACAAAACAGGAGCGACAGTCCGCCGTCGGCCAAGTGCCCGCCAAAACCCCACAACATGAGTGGTTTATCATTTCACCTCAGAGTAGTGTGCATAAGTATGTATGTAATTACTCTAAGCATTTCACCATGCGGTGGTGTTACTAAAGCGATAAAATGAAATTATTGGCATTTGAATTTTAGAAAAATTAAACAATAAAATTTTTTTCAAAAACCATTTATAATTATCAAATTAAATGAAAAAGGAATTGTTAATTTTTCTTCAATTTTCTTTATGATTTTTATCAGCTCTCAGAATTAAGATGGATTACCTCATTTCTAGTAAAAATTGCCTCCGGTACTCTAATGAATCAGCCATTTCTCTAAATCCTAAATCTGAAATATAATTTGGAAATATTCAATTACTCTTTTCTGTACTACAATAAAAGTTTTTTGTATATTTCCATTGGTAATTTGTAACATTTGTAGCTGGAAATATCCAAATATCTAACCTCAAACGTTGCAAAATATTAGACACTTTCAATTTCCGTCCCCGAATTCTCTCCTTCCTCATCGACCATTTTGTAAAATAAATTTTTGCTTGCTATAATTTTGTCTTTTTAGGTTTATGTTTTAAAAGTAACCATTTACAAAAATTGGAAAGAGTGTTCAATAGGCATAATATACCGTAATATAAAAGAACCGAAATTAGTCAGTGCTTACATTTTATTTTTTTCTTTCTTTTATCTTTGAAAGACATTGGCTTTGACGAATATCTACTAAAGATACATAAAAATCGCTTAAAACTTCAAAGCATACCGCTTAAAACTTCAGTTGAAATTTAAGGTTTTGAGACTCTTGAGATAGAAATGAATGCATTAGTACTTCACATTTTGTGTGTAAAAGCAAAGGCTAAGTGTAACTATAAAACGCCGTCCTAATATTTGAATATGAGCAACATAGCAGGGATATACCCTTGTTGATGTTTTTAACTTATAGTATTTTTGTGTAACTAGTGTACTCAGTCTGTTCTGTTCACATTTCTCTGCATATAAACACATTAAAATTGTATAATTTTTAGGGTTCCGTAGCTAAATGGCAAAAAACGGAGTCCTTATGGATTTGTCATGTCTGTCTGTCCGTCCGCACGTCACAGCCACTTTTTGAGTGATTCCACCGTTTCGTCCGAAACGGGGCAATTTCGTGGAATATTTATTTTGTTTGCGGCTTTGAAAAAAATATGTATTAAATTATTCGTATATGTTGTAGATACAGGTTATTGTGAAAGGCGTTCGTGAAAACCATTTCCTTTTCAAGAAAATTGATGGAGTGTAATGAGAGCGTGGAAGGTAATGAAATATAGTGAGAGTGTAATGATGAACTTTGGAGGGTAATGAAATGTTATGAGAGTGTAATGATTTAGTTTGGGAAGGTAATGAAAAGGAGTAAATCCTTTATAAATGTTATGTTTATCATTGACAAAAAGTATGTAATTTATCTGTGGTGTGTTTAATTAGGGAGTTAGGTATTACAGTCAATAAATGAAAATCATGAAATCAATAGAATTTTTAATAAATGTTAGAAAATTTGAAAAAAATAACAAAGTACGACAAAGATACTATAAAATGATATCAAATTAAGAGACTAAGATCTTTGTGAGAATGAGAATAACAACAAATTAAACATAGGTTCAATGTTATAAAGAAAAATGTAGACTGGAACATACAAAACACGAAAACGCTGTTTTCATAAAAATCTAGTAAAATATAGTATAAAAAATTAAATCGCTTGTTTTTCTTTAAATCACATAGGTAATTTACTCTTTATTAATCATATAAGTTACGTTATGTCTAATCAGTCTACTTGAAATTAAGGTTTGGTAACTTTTTAAAAGTAAATTCACCTCTTCTAGATTCTTCTGGTTCTCCCAAGTGCTGTAGAATACGAGATTCAGATACAATATCATCGTCGCAAATTGCTGGCCAATGGAACTTTACCGACTTTCCATGCCCTTTCCTTAAAAATAATATTTTATATTCAAGTGTGCTACTCATCTTATCGATGATTTTGCCAACGAAATACTGTGAGTTCTTCTTCATTTTATATTCAACGACCACCCATTGGTCTAAGTCATATTTTAATTCAATTACTTCGACGTTTTCTTTTGTTTCGATGTCGTAGTCCATTCTAATAGATGTATTCTGATCACGACCGAAATCAGATTTGATTACTAGCTCCTCAATATCATCCTCGAAATCTTGAGGAACTGGATGTTGAATTAACTCCTTAAATTCTGTTTGCTTAATGGAACTAAATCCTTGAATATTACAATTGTGGTACATTACTGGAATGTTGGATAAAATGTTTACTTTAGATTTATTGTTTATATTTATTTTCGGGGTCGAAGTTTCTGATAATAAATCGAATTGCCTCAAATCTCCGATATTGTTAAATATGGTTGGCGAATCGATGTTGATTGGGCTGTTAACGTCAGAAGGATCATATGTTCCACCATTAGTTCCATCAGTCAAGGACTTCATCACATTTACAACGTTATAGTTATTATAACTAGACATTTCTTGTGCAGTTGCTTCTTGACAAAGTCCCATATTTAGTACTCCGAGATGTTTTCTATGTTTACATGGTATGTAACTATCTCGACAATCAAAACAACTAAGACTTCTAAAAGTAATGTCGAAGGGCAAAGATGAAGACCAAAGAGTTTGGAGGACTTTGATTGTCCCTTTAAATGCAGGAATGTTTTTGGGAAATTCTTTGTCCGTTATCGCTTCCTCTGCGATGACAATGAGCTTAACATTTGCAATGTTTTGCTGAACAACTTGCACAAAGTCTTCAAATGAGCCTACATCGCCACCGAGTCTCACGTAGTTGTCAGCTGTTCTTTTTACAACAGCACCAATGCCATCTGGGGCCCCCCTTGCCATGCCCTGCTTCTTGATAATTCCATGTTATTAGCTTTAGGTTTGAAATTTGATCTTTCAATTTCGACATCATGTAAAAAATGAATCGGTTGCGGTATTGACTCGAGGGAGAGTCCGATAAGAAATGAATTGTTGTAAGATGTGGCACTAAATCTTGAACCATGTCCAAAACTGGGTCCAAGTGTGCCCATACAGCGGAAGCATCGTGTCTGATATTTTTTGACATGGTGCAGAATGACTTACAGGTTTTTTCTTTAGTTTGACTGTTTAAGTAATATAATACTCCGGTGTGAAGTGAAATTTGTTGACGACTACCGCCGAAGTGAAAACTTTGGATTTCTTCATTATATTTCAACAAATAGTTTTCACTAAAATCCACATGGCATAATACTTCATTAACAGTTATACTCTCTTTTAATTCTTTAATAGCTGAGTATTGCATATTAATATTTAAATTATGTTTGAAAAAATCCATTACTAAATTTTCGAACTTCTGAATAACATTACGAGGCGCATCTTCTTTTTTCTTTTTTATAGTTACTCTTTTAGTGTTTTCCTTTCCATCTTTTCCTTGATAACTTTGTTTCTCAAGAATCCATTCATGGTAAATAATATTTTCACTGTTGTCAAATTCCTGGTATCTCGTAACTTTATTTTTACATCTATGACACTTTCTCTCCAAACATTCTCTGTCATATATATCACAGCAAATATTTTGAAGAACTTCAGTAGCCGAACTTTCTGCAATAATATCTACTTTTTTTAAAGACTTTGTTAGAAGTTCCATATTGGCATGTAGCTTGCACTGGCACGTGTCTCTTTTTCCTGAAGGGTGAACTATCCAAAATGGCCTATATTTACAAAATACTGAATAGGAAATTCGGTCCCACTTCTCGCAATATTTAGTATATAAGTTTTTTATGTTATCAGTCAGATAACGTTTTTGTTTTTTGATGCCACTGCGTTTAATATATTCATTTTTTCCAGCAGCTACTTGACTGTTTACATCTTCTTGTAGAAAATTTTGTACTCTTCGTTTTATCTCAGCTGTTTTCTTTTGTAGCACTTGTTTTTTAGATAATTTCTTTTTTAAAGCAAAATTAACCTTCGACAGTACACCATACTTTTTTAGCCTCGCATCGTCAACAATATCTTCAGCAAAAGATCTTTTGTCTTTTTTAGAAAGACTTTTATATTTGTCAGATACTCCTCGATTAAGTGTTTCGTTGAACAGAAGTTTCTTTTTTACGTTCTCTATGTTATCAGCCTTAATGTCTTTAATTACTTGATCTACTTTTTTTTCTATTGTATCTGCAATATTATTTTTTACTCTCTGCATTTCTCGCTCTTTTTTTATTTGTTTCCTCAGCATATCCTTATCTCTCTTTAGTTTATTTATTTCTTTCTTTAAATTAGAAATTACTTTCATTGATCTATATCGCAGTTTTCTTGTACCACTTGAATTTACTTGGATCGATTGGGTTGCTTTGCTATTAACTGTCTTTGGTGTTTTTTCTATTTCCATCAAAGGATCGGGATCTGCTATATTCGCAATTTCTTCATTTTCGCTTGTGGGTGGTGAGTTTTCCAGCAAAACACGTTCTATCTTCTTTTGTTCCTTTAATTTATTCAAATATTTTCTTGAGTTTTTTCGCCATCTTCGCCTTTGCTCCCTTTTTGTCTGTCAGTCATTTCTGCTATGCTGAGAATCTTTTTCTTTTCTTTTCTTAAAAGGTACTTCTTTCTTTCTTTCTCTTTTTCAAGTCTGTATTTTTCAGGATCTTTTTTGATTTCTGCATATTTTTCCTTCTTTCGTAGCCTATCTTTGGCTAATTTTTCTTGTGCTGTTGCTTTTTTCTTTGGCTTCACCATAATTGTATAGTTACCTACAAAAAGATTTACAAATGTATTAAAATACACATTAAATACGTAACACATCTGAAACAAAAAATTAAAAAGGTGTCAATGAAATGGAGCCTGTAAATTGTATTGTTTTGTCAATTTAGGAGTCGGCTTAGACCACGGCCTACTGTTCATACACATTTTATAATTATTTACATGAGGCAAATAAAAAATTTGCATCATTTATGACTTGCATTGGTTATCTATAGCATTCAACAAAAAAAAACATTCCCTTCCAAAACGTTTCATTCCCCTCCGTATAAAAATTAGTGGGAACGGAATGTAATGAAATGGAAGGGAATGATTTTTTTGCAGATTTTTATAATTTACTTAAAATTTAATAGTACATTAACCCTAATAACTATACTGTGACATAACCTAACTAAAGTCAATAATGTAATCGTAAATTATATTTTTCATCTCAAGTGGTAACTTTATAAATAAACGGAATGTAATGAGTACTTACCAGTGACAAACGGAATTCTCAACACTCAAATCGTAAATAATTTCTGCTTCGGTCGCAAACGTCCGTGTCTGATGAAATAGTTCGGTAGACTGAGGGACGCGAGAGGCGCGGGCGGTTGGCTTAATGTAAAAACAGAGTCGCACTCATAATAATGTTCATTGCAAACTCTGTGGAATGGAATGAAATTTTTCGTGTGACAAAATTTCAACGTTGATTATTTCTACGTTACGCACCCTTTAAAAAATCATATGTAGAAAATTAATATTCTTTAATAAGTTATTAATAGCAAAGGACAAAAATCGTGCAGTTTTGCTTTAAGAAAGCGCTTTAATGTGATGACAAATATTTTGAGTGGCCGTGTGGAAAAGGAGTGGAATGAAGTTTGGTCATGTTTTTGTTCTAAAATTTTTTTTATTTATGTATTAATAACAAAAATAACAAATGCCTCTTTGAACTTTAAGTAAATATTAACATATTTCATTAAAATATTAACATTTACTTTAACATTAATGCTGATTTTTATGACGGAAAGACGATTTGGACGAAATGGTGGAATCACTCTTTTACCGAAACTATAAAAACTATGCTGTTGAAACTTGGTGGGTAGATGTATTCTGTGATTATCCGCATTAAGATTTTTGCATGAAAATAGAAAAAAAAACAATAAATTTTGGGGGTCCCCATAGTTAAAACTGAAACTCAAAATATTTTTTTCATCAAACCCATATATGTGGGGTATTTATGGATAGGTCTTCAAAAATGACATTGAGGTTTTTTTTTCTAAACTGAATAGTTTGCGCGATAGACACTTCCAAAGTGGTAAAATGTGTCCCCCCTGTAACTTCTAAAATAAGAGAATGATAAAACTGAAAAATTTATATGATGTACAATACCATGTAAACTTCCACTGAAAATTGGTTTGAACGAGATCTAGTAAGTAGTTTTTTAATACGTCATAAATCATAAAAAAAATACACTATTATTGAAACATCGATCAAAGTTACAACCAACTACAAGAACTTTTATATTATGTTACTTGCTGCTACGGAACCCTTCATGGGCGAGTCCGGCTCGCACTTGGCCGCTTCGTTATTTAAAGTAATGAATAAGTTGTTGTCGACGCACTGTCTTTATAACATCATATTTTATCAACAATTCTGTAAATTTTGTCTTTTTGTTGACGTCGCAGAAATTTATTGAGCTTAAAATACGTATTTTAATCACATTGCTATGCGTACGATGAATTCTTCCTATTCCGTGAGTCAACTGGTAAAAAATACCTATAGGTATTAAGTTCGCCCTTTGTATTCTTTCCTGTAGGGAATGCAATAAAGATTTTAGTCGTCAAAGGCGACATCTGTGATACATCTGTATCTTCTTTGTTTACCTTATGATTTATTCTTCTTTGTTTAGTTGGTCGCAGGTATCCATGAGAGCTGTATAGAAGCCATTTATCATCAGGTCGACTGTAAGTTCCTTTGTCCTGCAGTTTTATAAATAAACGTTGCAACTTCAGCATGTAATCCGTTGGGCTGTATCGGTTACTCAGGTTCTACTGCGTATATCCTCATTTTTAAATCTATCACGCAGAGAAATCCCGATCATAGCCTTAGCCATAACTCGCTGAGCGATCATTTAAAAATTTTGTATAATACAAAAAATATTAGGTAATTATTTCGAAATTACGTTTCAGATTTAGGATTTAGAGAAATGGCTCGCATATACAGTACCGGAGACTATTTTTACTAGAAATGAGGCGTTCCATCTTGGTCATAAGAGCTCTCAATGCATCTGAATTTGGATTCTTAATCGAGAATATATGTCGATATCTATGGGCCATGTGTTTCTCGTCTGTGTTATTCTCTTAAAAAAAAGCCTTAAACAGAAAATATATTTGAGTGAGGCTCACAGAAAATGTACCATAACACACAAGAACTTGTAACACACGATAACACACTGGAATTGTGTAACACACTGGAAATGTTGTTAAGCTTGATGCACATAAAGCAATAAAAAAATTGAATTTCAAATAAAATACGATTATAGACAGAATTATTTATTTAATAAAACAATTAAAAAAAACAAAGAGATCAAAATATGTACTTAGAATTACACAATCGTATTATTTTGGCATTATTTGAATATTTATATATATATATATATATATATATATATATATATAAATATATATATATATATATATATATATATATATATATATATATATATGTTATATCTACCTACTTGTAAATATTCTCCTCAAAATAAACCTTATCGCTAGGATCAGCTAAAAAGTATTCTTTTGGTCGTTTTGTGTTTTGTGTTATTTTAACCTGCGTAACTATTAAATCTTCAGTTACAGTGTCTTCATCTTTTATTTTGTGAATTACAAACTTTAGCTCCGGTTTTTTAATGGTTTTCAGAAATCGTATGGTAAAATAAGATTTTCCTTCTTTTTTTAAAAACTGTCTTCCAAGAATCCTATGTAATACTTCCACGCGGTTCTTTTATAATACCTTACAAGTACAGTGTCTTTGAAAGATAGCCTCCATATGTCTGTATTAATTTTTGATGTCACTTCCGAGTCATTTTTTGCATTGTGAAAGTTATTTTCATCATCCTGCAGAGTCGTAGCAATCACAGATTGTCCAGCTAAATTAGTTTTAACTACTCCCTGATTTTAATTAGAAAAAAATGTTTATTTCTCTTGTGTCTTTACCAGTGTATGTATTTTTTTATCTTCATGGCTTGATTGTTCTATTTTTTTCTCTCTCTATTTTACTTGTGTCTGATATTTTTCTTAAATTTGTAACGTTCTTCTGTTCTTTCAATTGATAATCCGTATGATCCAGATAATCATCATCTGATAAGATATCATCTGTAATGTGATACTCTTCATCAGAAGTATCATGCACAGAAATCGTCATATCTTCGTCTGTACTGCTCTCCTCTTCCGTTTTAAGTTTCTTATTTGTTTTAAGGTGTATGTCTTTTATTTTTCTTTTCTTTGAACATTTCTTCATTCTGTCATGAGAAATTTCTTTCAAACTTTTGCTAGCAATGTCTGTTTTGAGGTTTATTTGTTTTAAATTGAATGGTCCATATTGTCTCAAATTAAAATAAGACCTGTTTTCTTGAGTATTTTTAATGTCAGCTAATACTGTTATAGACTACTGTTATAGAAATAGAGTTAGCTGAGTCAACATTGTTAATAATCTGATGTATTTTCATCGTGTTTGGTACTGGTACGAGTTCTACTGATTCGTTCAGCATGGCATCTTCAGGTATAAAGAAAAGCTGTATTTTGGTTTCAGACGCTTGTAAAAATTCATAAGCTGTTTTAGCGTCAGGAACATTTGAATCATAAGCGACAATTGAGTCTAATTTTCTTTTAATGGCTCCTCCTACACCATCAGCGGCTCCTTTACCGTGTGACGCTTCGTAAAAGTTCCACGTGGAAAATGGAAATCCCAACTCTTTCGTCAGTTTTGCGAAATAATAAAAGTTTTTCTTCTGTCGGTATTGTACAGTTGGGCCATCTGAATAAAAATGAATCCCGTCTACTTTTGGTATTTTCTCCTTGACCAACTTAAGCACAGGTAAGAGATGTGCCCAAATGGCATCTGGTCCGTGGTCTTTGTTTGGACTTAAACTTGCAAAAGATTGATGACCTTTTTCGGTATATAACACCCCTGTGTGGAGACTGATCTGTTTTCTGAACCCATCAAAATGCATGGCTTGTATTTCAGTGGCTAATTCGCAAGAATAGTTTTCCGAAAAATTGACGTGTACAACGACAGTACGGTCATCTAAATTTTCTGTGCACTGCCGATATTGTTTGTAGTTTGTATGCACGATATTGTAGGAATGGATTTTGAAACTTTGCAGTTCTTCTTGAAAAGCATCTAGGAGCATTTTTAGCGAACCAGTTTTTTTTCTATGACGTTTTTTTTTTCGTAATCTTTGTCACATCACAATTTTTGTTTGGTTTGTATTCATGAGATTTCAAAACCCATTCATCTCATGAAACATTATAGTTCAGATCTTTTTCACCCATAGAAAAATCAATACGTTTGTTTTTGCAAAAATCACAGTCTCCGTAAGCACATTTCTTTGACTTTGAAGAACATACAACCATACTCAGTAACTCATCAAGATCTGTTGTTGCTATTAATCCAATTGACTTCAATGACGTGGCTTTCATTTGCAAATTTTCGTGCCTCTTGCAGGCGCAAGTTTCTCGTTTCTCGTTCCTCCTTCTTCTCTATATTTCTGATATAATTTATGTAGTGTTGAATTATGTGTTTCTCTGTTTTTTTTTTTGTGTCTTTACTTCGTTTTTCCCTGCTGTCATCCTACTCACATCATCCCTTTCATAAAAGTTTCTTAACTGTGTCTGTATTAATGGGCTTTTATTTTTCTGTTTAGTGTGACGAATTTTTCCTTTAAGACCTAAATAGGTAGCCATCTTAGTTTTCATACTGTATTTATTAATGTTATCACTTTTGGTAAAAACATCTTTAATTAATCGTTTTTCTTGAGTGTTTTTACTTTTGTAGCGGTTTTTTATAGTGTCCACTATTACATTATGTTCTAGCAAAACTTTTTTCACGCTTTCTCTTTCTTCAGGTCGAATACTAGGTAAATTTTGGTCAATGTATGCGCACGTTTTCGAAACGGGGGTCATTTGTTCAAGGGCTTCATCTTTTTTGGCAATTGGGCTTGACCTGTCTTCAAAGCTACGAATCATTTGGTTTTTCTCCTCAATAATTTCAAGTAACTTTTTATTTTTTTCCATCGAACGGTTTAATTTTTTTTCAACGACTTTTTATATTTTTTTAATTCCTCTTCTATTCTCCTCCTCCTTCCTCTCCTCTTCAGTCTATAAATGACCCTTCTATTATAATTTCTCTTCTGTGTTAAAATTTGTCCGTGTCCTTCTAAAGGCACTACTTCAGGCTTAGGTTCTTTCTTACCTTTCTTCTTTCTCTCTCTCCACTGCTTTGTTATGATTTCTTGATC